CCATCATCCATCCATCATCCATCATCCATCCATGGTTTTAATCTTTCATAGATGTCACAGTTAGTGATTCAGCTCCTGGTATCTGCTGCTGTTGGAAGGATCCATAATAAACAGTCTAATTTATGTTTGTTTGTGTTCCTGTGTGGATCAGGTGGGTCTTCAGAACCTGACTTCTGAGGTTCTGTCTGTGGACAGACTGCTGGAGGACAGTCAGGACCTGCTGGAGGACACCCTGAGTCTGGCTGCAGACTTCTCAAACCGCAGCGCAGTAAGACCTGCTCTGTTGATCACATGATCAAACCTCTGCAGCAGAACGCAGTCTGACCTCCTTCTGACCAGCAGGTGGAGCTGTTGGCCAGCCAGCTGGATCAGTGGCGCCCTCAGCTCAGGAAGCACGTGGAAGCCTTGGTGGTTGGCCTGAAAATGACCGACGCTCTGGAGAACGTCCACCGCGCAGAACGCCACGCCTGCCAGCTGAAACGCCACGCCGACCTGCTGCATAGGTACTGATGTGTGCTTCTGTTTCTAACCTTTCCCCTCCAAAACATTAAACCCGTTCTCCCTCTGTTCCTTTAGATCCATGTTCAACGTGTCCCACAACGACACCCAGACGGCTCATTCAGAAGATGACATCACTCAGCTAGTTGGCTCCGCCCACCAGGAAGCCTCGGCGGGCCTTAACTCTGCCTTGCTTGCTCTCAACATGGTACTGAGATAGTCTGTCCTGGTCCAGATGTAGGAGGAGACGCCTCTACCCCCATCTAACCTGTCTGTGCCTTTCAGAGCGTCCAATCAGGGCGCAGGCTGTCGGAAGAGGGCGGAGCCACGCTGAACATCTCATCCCATGTTTTAGAAGAAAGTCGGCAGCTCAACATTACAGCTGAAGGTGTGTTTGGTCTCTGGTTCAGATGGACGCTGCAGAGCTCTGAGGAACATCTGTTGGTCCATCAAAGAAGCTTTTCAAACCACTGCTGTAGCCATGGTAACCGACGGCCAGTCTGCTTCCAGGATGAGCGATGGCCACATCGTTAGGACAATCTCAGAGGAAACCAACCGTGGCTAACTGAGCCTGAATAACGGCGGTTCCAGAGCTTTACTACAGAATCGCCGTGATGAGGATTGCATGTGTGATAAAAAGTGGGATAAAATATCCTAAAAACGAACACAGAGAGCGGGTTTACATAAATACATACATGCATTAGTATCTCATTTGCAATGCGATGCAAAGTGACCATTTTTAATGTAGTTTAGAAAATAAATGAATAATTAACCAGGAAAGGCGGGGCAACATGATGGAGCGAGGTGTTACAGCTGGGAAACAGCCAGTTAAATAAGACGATCCACATGTATCGATGACATCATTCAATCAGACGCCGTGTGTCCTGGGACCCTGGCATCATTACAGGGAGGAAAAACGTCAGAAAACGTCAGAAAATTCTGCTGAAAATCTGAGCGAGCGTGAAGCGATTTCGGCGGAGCGGCAGGAAAATTAAGGTGAGCGAGAAGCGGATTTATAGCGGAGCGTCCTAGAGCTACTTTGAGCGGCGGAGCGAATGAGCGAACGTCCTCCTGAGCGGGTAGCGGGAATCGCACGGCGCTCCGTTCACGTGACCTTGGTGGTTCAGGTGGTTTGATGTGAACGGTAAATGTCTTTGGTTAAGTCAGAGCACCTGAACAAAGCGCTTTACTCTTCATTCATTCATTCATTCAGCCACACACTGATGGTGGTGAGCTACATTATAGCCACAGCTGCCCTAGCGTATCATCAGAAGCTAGGCTGCCGTACACTGGCGCCACCGGGCCCTCCGACCGCCATCAGTAGGCGATGCTGGTGAGGTGTCATTCCCAGGGACAGTCAGATGATCCTGTTTGATTTTCACCCTCAGATCCCAAACGTTTCTTCTTCTGTGGAAGCAAAGGAAATCAGGTGGGCTGCAATCCCAAAAACCCGGATTTATGTTTCCCTTTCCTTCAGACCTGCAGATCAGTGTTTCCATGGTAACCACCAGACTGCGATTGGTCAGAGACGGGGTGCTTAACTCCAGTGCTCTGCTCCGCCAGCCAATCAGTGAGCTGCAGAGGCTTCCTATTGGTGAGACAGCTGATGATGATGAGGATGATGATGAGGATGATGATGTTGAGGATGATGATGATGATGCTGATGAGGATGATGATGATGATGATGATGAGGATGATGAGGATGAGGATGATGATGATGAGGATGATGAGGATGATGATTATGATCAGGATGATGATGATGATGATGAGGATAATGATGATGATGATTGTGAGGATGAAGATGATGATGATGATGATGATGATGATGATGAGGAGGAGGATGATGATGATGGGGATGATGAAGAGGATGATGAGGATGATGATGATGATGAGGATGATGATGATGAGGCTGATGATGAGGATGATGATAATGAGGATGAGGATGATGAGGATGATGATGAGGATGATGATGATAGTGATGATGATGATGATGATGGGGATGATGAAGAGGATGATGATGATGAGGATGATGACCAGGATGATGAGGATGATGAGGATGATGACGATGATGATGAGGAAGATAAGGATGATGATGATGAGGATGATGATGAGGATGATGATGATCAGGATGATGATGATGATGATGATGAGGATAATGATGATGATGATTGTGAGGATGAAGATGATGATGATGATGATGATGAGGAGGATGATGATGATGGGGATGATGAAGAGGATGATGAGGATGATGAGGATGATGAGGATGATGATGATGAGGCTGATGATGAGGATGATGATAATGAGGATGAGGATGATGAGGATGATGATGAGGATGAGGATGATAGTGATGAGGATGATGATGTTGGGGATGATGAAGAGGATGATGATAATGAGGATGATGACCAGGATGATGAGGATGATGACGATGATGATGAGGAAGATAAGGATGATGATGATGAGGATGATGATGAGGATGATGATGATGATGAGGATGATGATGATGAGGATGATGATGATGAGGATGATAAGGATGATGATGATGAGGATGATGATGATGATGATGATGAACATGATGAGGATGATGATGATGAGGATGATGATGAGGATGATGATGATGAACATGATGAGGATGATGATGATGAGGATGATGATGAGGATGATGATGATGATGATGATGAACACTAACACTGTGCTTCAGGCTCATCCAGGTCCACCAAGCAGGCGGAGGTTCAGGCTGGAGCAGCAAACTCCAGCCTGCAGGGGGCGATGCAGAGGCTGCAGAGACTCAGGCAGCAGCTGGAGAATTCTTCTTCTGTGGTGGAGAAGACCAACATCACCGTGAGGGAGACCAACAGCCTAATGAGTCGGGTTCAGACTGCAGGTCTGTCAGAAAGTCCGTCACCAACCTAAAGCTTCCAAAATAAAAGTCCAAGTGATAAAAATAACACTTCCTGTTTGCTTAGCTAACGAGGTGCAGCGCCACCTAGAGGAGGCGGAGCATCGCACACAGCATCTGATGGAAAGAGTAAAGCCCCTGAGCGTGCTAAGAGAAACCCTGAGCAGGAATCTGTCGGACATCAGGGAGCTGATCGATCAGGCCCGAAGACAGGCGGCATCGGTACTGACACTTCTTCAAAGCCTGGAACATTTCTGCAACCCGATAAGGTTTACATACCTGAGCTGGACGCCTGTTTGACGTCCACCTACAGTAAATCCAGTGGTGTGGTGAATGTGGGGAGGGTGAAGGACAGAGAGGCGTGTCCCAAAGCCCCCAGGATTAGAATAAGGGTCTGGGGAATTGTTTGGCCTTGCAGGTGAAACAGGCTGAGTGAAAACTTTTATAGTGAGTGAATAAGATAAAATAATATATGAAATAAGAGAAATAAAAATGTTCCGACCACAGGCCTCACAAGGGAATACTAGCATTTTGGTCAAAGGTACCGTGGCTGGGCTTGTAGTGAGGTTCTAGCAGCTGATCTATGGTGAAAACACTGTGGACGTGTCATCTTCCTGGTTTTTATGCATAAATATCAAAGAAAATTAAAGAAAAAACAAAGTTGAGATGAGTGTGAGTCCCATGACATCCAACAAGGTTAACCACCTCCATGCAGCACAGTGGGTTTATATCAGTGAGATGTAGCAGGAGATCACAGATGCTTTACCTTCCTAAAATAGAAGAGATATCTCCAACTGCCCCTCAACCAGTTGGCATCACAGCATCCTCCCCAAAAAGGGGAATGGGACTTGATTCTCAGCTTGTTTGTGGGTTCATCAGATCAAGGTGGCGGTGCAGGCAGACAGGGACTGTGTTCGGACCTACAAACCACCTATTCAGTCCAGTAACTTCAACACTCTGAGTCTGATCCTGAAGACGTCCCATCAAAATAACCTGCTCTTCTACCTGGGAAGCAACATCACGGTATGCAACCCTACCCACCCCCCCACCAACACACACACACCACAAACACATTCTGTTTTTTGTGACTTTCGGGGTTATGATTGACATATATTCGAAACTTAAAGCCTAACCCAGACCCTAACCCTAACCCCTCATGTTTATCAACTTACCAGACCAATTAGCTACGGACCCTAATATTAGTGGAATCCATACCTAAACCTAACACCTGACCCTTGCCTTAAAATTACACTTAGCCGATCCCGAACCTTGACACTTGCCCTAAACCTAACTTTAGCCCTTACTATCAACTTACCAGATCAATTAGCTACTGACCCTAATATTAGTGGAATCCATACCTAAACCTAACACCTGACCCTTGCCTTAAATTACACTTAGCCGATCCCTAACCCTGACACTTGCCCTAAACCTAACTTTAGCCCTTACTATCAACTTACCAGATCAATTAGCTACTGACCCTAATATTAGTGGAATCCATACCTAAACCTAACACCTGACCCTTGCCTTTAATTACACTTAGCCGATCCCGAACCTTGACACTTGCCCTAAACCTAACTTTAATCCTTGCACTAACCCTAAAACCCAGCCATTACTCTAAAAGCTAACCCTAGTTCTCCAAGTTCTACAAACTGGCTTGGCTATGGATCTGAGAGATACCAACAAACGTGCGCCGGCCCGTGCAATACCTTTGATCCCCTAACCAACTGCTCTAGTCGTCGGACTGGGTGGGGGGGGTCATCGAGAGAGTGTCTAACGCCTAACCACTGCAGTAGTCTACCATATGGGGACCCCATAAGGACATAGTTCCACATGACCTGACTTGACACACACATTTTCATTCGCATACAGCCTGGTTTGTATTCCTACCCCTATGATGATGTTTCCTTGACCGCCATTCATTTTAGAAACTATTCATTCCTGATCCTATGACTTACCTAAAGTACTCTATGTATACTCTTGAATGTACCCTTATTGAGTACGGTCTTCATAAGGTCAGTACATAAACCCCCCCAAACACACTCATTTTGTCACAGTTCCTAGTCCTTGTCACTCAGAGTGGCCATCCACCCTATCTGGAGAAAAACTCCATCATTTGCTATTGGGTGACTGAACCTGAAACCAAAGAGCACTAGACCTAAATCCGGCATGTGTTAATGTTTCAGAAGGACTTCCTGGCGGTAGAGATGCATCATGGGAAGGTTTCGTTGCTGTGGGACCTGGGCTCTGGCACAGGACGGCTGCACTTCCCTCAAACGTTCATCACAAACAACCGATGGACCAAAATCAACGTTACCAGGTAGAAAACCTCTGGACAAACTCTGAGTCTGTCTCAGATTCATTTCTGTCCCAGTGATGATGTCATCTGTGATGTCATTAGGTTCGGAGCACGCGCCTCTCTCTCCGTCCATCAGCTGGACTCTGAGTCGCCCCCTCTGCCGGCGGTGACGTCGCTTTCACCGGGAACATCCCGGGTTTTGGACATCGACAGAAACACGGTGATCCACATCGGAGGAATGGGAGCCAACAGTCAGGTACGTCCGCCTCATGTCAGGTGGACAGGTGTGTGAGTCTGAGCACCAGCAGATCAAGCCTCGCTGTGTGTGTTTGTGATGTCCAGGCTCCTCCAGTGCTGCACACATCTTCCTTCCAAGGATGCCTGGGTGAAGCTTCGCTGAATGAGGAGAACATTGGTCTGTGGAGCTACTACCGCCGGGAGGGGAAGTGTGGAGGCTGCTTCAGCAGGTAGCACCTCAGCGCTAACATCATCATCAGGCTGAAGGCCACAGATATCTCACCCATCTCTGGCCATCCCCATGTGTCTTAGTCCCCAGGCAGAGGAGACGTCTTTCTACTTCGATGGCTCTGGATATTCTGTGGTCCAGAAGTCTCTGAGAGCCACGTCCACCTCCGTGGTGCTGCTGTTTAAAACTTTGTCTCCAGGTGGACTGCTGCTGTACCTGGCCTCCAACAACACGGTAAAACAGCCACACATTTTTAATGCTCTTATTCTGGAGGGGACACACTGTGACTACGCTTCCCTTTGTCCTTCAGAAGGACTTCCTGTCTCTAGAACTGGTTGAGGGGCATGTCCGTCTGGCATTTGACCTGGGCTCAGGTGCTCTTATCATGACCTCCAGCAGAAAGTACAACACAGGAATTTGGTACAAGGTCACCCTGCAGAGGAACAAGCGCAAAGGTTGGTCAGTGACCAGTAGAACCCATGGGTTCAAGAGACATTCCTTTGACTGGATTCTGGCTCTGTCCAGGTTACCTTTCCATCATGGCAGCCGGCCAGCCATCGGTGAAGGAGGTGTTAGAGGCGGAGTCTCCAGGAACGGCCTCTGACCTCAACCGCTATGACCTGGACCCGATCTACATAGGAGGATTCCCTTCTTCCAGACCCATCAGGTCAGTTAGCTGGAGGCATTAGCAGATCTGTAAAAAAACTTGCTTTGTACCTGACTGTCTTTGTGGTTGCTAGGCGACAGGTGTTATCCCGGACGTATGTTGGATGTATTAAAAACGTGGAGATTGCTCGCTCCAACTTTGACCTGCTGATGGACGCTTATGGAGTCCGGAAGGGCTGCGTCCTAAAGGTACCAAACCCACCTGGCTCCGCCTCCATTCTGACACCTGTAACCCCCCCATCCTAGACCTTAAAGTAGGAAATGCTAACAGTTGGTGACGATAAGCTTCCAATGTTCGGTTTATGGTGTGTTGATTGTTCAGGCGGTGCGGAGTGTCTCTCTGTTGTCTGGAGGCTTCGTTCAGATCAGCCCTTCGTCACTCAGTAAGGAGGCAGAGATCCTCTTCACCTTCTCCTCCAACAACCAATCAGGAGTCCTCCTGGCAGGCTTCGGTGACGACCGACCTCACCGGCAGGTAAGGGGCCACACGGATCCCATGATGCACCGTTGATCCTACATGTTGCAGAGGGGTGAGGTTCTGTATTCTGTCTGCGCAGCACTTCCTGTCCCTGCACCTGGTCTCAGGTAAAGTGGTGGCGGAGCTTGGCGAACTGGGCGGAGCCGCGCGGAGGGTTTCGCTCACAAAGTCCGATGGAGAATCATTCTGCGATGGAAGAGAGCACTCAGTGATTATGACTTTGAACAGGAAGTATGTGTTGCCATGGAAACGGCCCCCTGCACCCGCAGCCTGAACTGCCGCACCTGAACGAGCCGTCTCTCTCTCCAAGGTCTCTGTCCCTGCAGGTGGACGATGAACACCCGAAGTCTGTCTCTCTGCCGGGAGGATTGTCTCGGCTGTCTTTGTCCTCCGTCTTCATCGGTGGAATCCCTCCTGAGAAGGAGCCCCGCCTGCCGGTCGGACTGCAAGCTCTGTCCCAGCAGTTCAGAGGCTGTATTCAACACCTGGTGATGGGCGGAGCGTAAGTCCTTCTCTGTCCTCTGCTGATCTCCATGGAGGACAAAAATGTGTCGTTAATCCCAAAGGTTATTGTAGATGGTCATTGTTGGAGGCTATTGCTAATTTTTATTCTGATGTCTCAACATTCTGGTCTAATTGTGAATATAAAGGTTTCTGGATCTTGCAGTCCATCAGATTGGCTAACAGCTTTTGTTGGTCGCTGTCTGTCTGCAGGCTTGTTGACCTATCAGTCGCCATCAGGTATGAGGGGGTGGAGTTTAACAGCTGCCTGTTGGAGAAGAGCCCTTTGAGGTTGGTAGATCCCGAAGACCCTGTTGTGGAACCAACACCTGCACCTGCAGACGCTCTTTTAGCCCCGCCCACACATCTGAGCGCCCTCACTGCTGAAGCGTTAACGGTAAAGTCTGAGTTTCTAATCGATCTCTGATGACGATGTCCGCCGAGTGCTGATTGGTACCTGATCTAACGGCGGGCTGGTTTGTGTTTAAGTGTGCGTCGGACCAGGAACCTTCCTTCCTGCCTTCAGCTGCTCAGTTCGGTTCATCCAGGCACAGTCACATGACCTTCATTATCAACCCCAGCACACTTAGAAAGAGGTTGGTCTCCATGACGACAGATTGTTCGGTTTACTGGATTTACCAGACAAAGTCTGAATCGGTGGACCCTGATTGTCTCGATTGTCTTCTTGTCCTCAGCGTATCGGTGAGGATGTCGGTTCGAAGCCACGTTCTGGATGGCCTGATGCTGCTCCTCTCCGACTCCAAGCAGATGGACTTTGTTGCCCTCAGTCTTATAGGGGGGAAAGTCAGGCTGTCAGCCGACTTGGGGAAAGGCCCCTCCTCCGTCGAGTCGTCTGCCGCTGTCAGCGATGGACGGTGGCACACGGTGAGTCCATGTCCAGATCAACGACTTCAGGTCCAGGTTTGCAGACTTGAAAGGTTGAACTCTGCCTTGTTCGAACCCCTCAGCTGAGCGCCGAGGTGAGCCAGAGGTCCGTCTCAGTGACGGTGGACACTTTACGTCCAGCATCTGTCTCCATCAAAGGGAACCACCTGGATGTGGAAAGGACACTTTTCCTCGGAGGTTTTCCTAATGGTGTGAACAGCAGGAGGATCGGGGTAAGACCATCAGAACCGTTCTCATGACATCACCAGCAGTGGGAAGATCTACCCGGTAACAGGTGACCTTTGTACACCTTTCTGTCTGCCCCTCAGGTTAGCTCCGGTTTCTCAGGTTGCATCCAGTCCGTCAGTCTGAACGGCGCCACACTGGATTTGTCCAAGCCCATCTCGCAGCTTGATGTCACTTCCTGCTTCACCAGGGATCAGAGAGGAAGTTACTTCAATGGCAGCGGACATGCTGAACTGAGTGAGTCCAGTTTCGGTTCTTTTATCTCCGACCAGGTCGGGTTTCAACAGCTTTAGAGAAGCGTTTCTGTTGGTCTGTTCAGGGGTTTTTAACCAGAGTTTTTTAAATCATCATGCTAACGTAATAGATGTTTATGCCCGCAATATGCTCACAAGCTTTTCTACCGTAATAACAGTCTACAGGCAACATTTCCCCTCGTTCTTAAAATGGTCAAATTGGGGACATTTCTGGACACAGCTTTAGCCCGGGACAGGTAGTCCAGAAATCTGGGACGTTTGGTCACCCAGTAAAACGGGCTAACCTGTTAGCCAGTGAGCACAGCTAGCTACAGCGCTACCTAGCTCTTTATATCACGGTCTAACAGTTGCTTTGTTCACCAGAAACAGATTTTTTCAGTTTCCAGGTAAAACTTGATCGTTCATTAGACACGCTAACGCTACAGATGCTAACGACTCGGCACACGGACGCTGCGTGATGTTATTATCGTTGTCTGGGCAACCACTATGTTTTACATCATGTGGCAACGTTCAGCCAATCAAGTGGCAGATCATGTACCTATACTGTGTCTGTGCCTGCAGTGCATGATGGGTATAAGGTTGGTGCCGATATGTCGGTGTCTGTGGAGTTCCGGACCAGCCAATCAGAAGGAGTCTTTTTGGGAATCAGCAGTCCAAAAGTGGATGCGGTTGGACTGGAGATGATTGACGGCCAGGTGAGCGTCCGTAAACAAGGTCTGTTGGTTCTTTCCTGATTGGCTGACCTGCCCAGGTCACCTGTATGTCTCCTCAGGTGGTCTTCAATGTGAACAACGGCGCAGGTCGGGTGTCGGTGCGCTCCGCTGACCGGATGCTGTGTGACGGACAGTGGCACCACCTGCTGGCCAGGAAGACCAAGCACACCCTGACTCTGATGGTAGATGGGAGGAAATACAGCACCCCCAACCCCTACCCACAATCCACCTCTGCTGAGACCAACAACCCAGTGTACCTGGGGGGTTATCCAGGTGAGAGCAGAGCAGAGACCTAGAGGAAGACCTGGTGAACATCTGAGAGGCTAACCTGTGTGTCTCTGTTGCAGCTGGAGTCAAACAGAACTGCCTGACCGTCAGGACCAGGTTCAGGGGGTGTCTGAGGAACCTGCAGCTCACCAAGCCTCACCTGAGCAACCACCTGGATCTCAGCACCGCCCACTTCCTGCTGGGCGTTACTCCCAATTCATGCCCCGCTGCATAGCAACCGTTGCCATGCAGAGGTTAGGACACAGAAGCCGGAGGATCTTCTGAAGATTACTGTTGATTCTCAGAACTTAAAAATCATCTTTAGAGTGATGTCATCTGAGATGTAAATAAATAAACCAGAGAAGAAGAAGTGAGTTTGTTTGTTGATTTTAATAAAGCTCAGATGGTAGAAACAGAGAGAGAGGGGATGGGGGGGGATGAGTCCCAATGAGAGAAATGAAAAACTGGACCCGTCTGACACAGACATGTCCAAAACGGTTCTCAGGAGCAGTCGGGTCTGGGTCAACCAGGGTCCGGTTCTACAAAGCATATCTGGTTCTGTATGATGGACCCGTTCCTATGGAGACGGTCTGATGTGGTCAGGCCGGCCCCCAGGGGTTCTGTTCAGGTAAAAAAGGCAAAGGTGGGAGGACCAATCAGAGTAAAGAGCTGCAGGGTGACCTGCTGATTCCTTCATCACTTCAGCTGAAAAACAGAAGAACGTTTCCAGTTTCCATCTGTGGTTTTCTCCGTCACAGTTAGAGACATATTGATCTAATTCATCTTTACAGCATAGAAGCTGAAACACAAACATCTGGTAGGATGAGTTTAAACCAAGTCCTGTTTCAGTTTCTCTGGACCAGTTCAGGAGTTTTCTGATTGTTTGGAAGCTTTGTGTGGATTTCTGTCATCCAAAGATCTACATCAGGAGGCCATTAGCCTAACAGGTGAATGTTTTTGTTCCTGGACAGCGATGCATGATGGCCGTGGCTGCTTGGTTTGCAGCGCAGTCCTGTTTGGACTTGCTGATAGGAGGCCAGGATCCACGCTTAGAGGTTCTGAACAATCCGGAAACAATTGTTTCATCAACAACCCTGTTTCATCTTAGAGAACAGAGCCATGGAGCACAATCGGTCACCATGGCGACAGACCCCGGGAAGACCCGAACAATTGTCTGTTACCATGATGACCGACCCGGGAAGACCTAAACCATTGTGTATCACCATGGCGACAGACCTGGGGAGACCCAGCAATTGTCTGTTACCATGGCGACAGACCTGGGGAGACCCAACAATTGTCTGTTACCATGATGACCGACCCGGGAAGACCTAAACCATTGTGTATCACCATGGCGACAGACCTGGGAAGACCCAACAATTGTCTGTTACCATGATGACAGACTCGGGGAAGACCTGAACCATCGTCTGTCACCATGGTGACAGACCTGGGGAGACCCAAACAATTATCTGTCACCATGGCGACACACCTGGGGAGACCCAAACAATTATCTGTCACCATGGCGACACACCTGGGGAAGACCTGAACTATCGTCTGTTACGATAGTAATGGTGAAAGACCCAGAAAGACTGAACAAGTGTCTGTTACCATGGTGACAGACTCGGGGAGGACCTGAACCATCGTCTGCTACCATGGTGACAGACCTCAACCATTTTTTGTTACCATGGTGACAGACCCAGGAAGACTTGAACAGTTTGTTCTGGAGGTCCAGAATAAAGTAGGTAGAAACAGAAGAGCTGTTTGTGAAAATGCAGCAAGAAAAGAAGAGGAATAAACTACATACTGGTTAAACTAGTTGAACTGAACAGTGAAGAAACTAGTTTCTACATAAAGGGGTTACTAACCACTACATACTTCCTGCAGAGCTTCAAAATAAGAGTCCATTTCAACAGCTTCCTGCTCTGAGTCGGGCTTTTATTTGAAAGGATTTTCCACTGAACATCTAACACAGAATCTACAGGTCAGATGTTCAAGCTGCCTGAGTTCATGATAACTTCAACCCTTCAGGGTCGCCTCTGCTTATTAGAGGAAATGCTGGATTCTATGGCACATCCTGTTGCATCGTGGGTAAATACTTGGCTGAGCTGCAGCTGAGCGAGCGAGGATTTTCACAATAAAAGCTTCTTAGCAGGTGTGGCAGGTTCGAACTATCGCAGTCAGGAGAAGGCTTGAGTCAACTGGCCAATTAGGGGGCCTCCTGAAGCAGTTGGGGGGGGGTCTCTTGGGGGGGCTCGTACATGCATTCATATGTGCTTGGGTGGTGTGCATCCTCCACTCCAGCTGGGATGAGTCCACACTAGGCTGGTGATGGCGGCTCCTGGCTGTGGACTCAATGTCCCAGAATGATGGAGGGGCTTCGACATTCATTCCTGAAAGAGAAAGACGGCAGTGAGACGGATGGACAGAGAGAGACAGAGAGGGACAGAGAAAGACTTAGACATTTTGCATATCCAAATGGAAAAGCAAATAACTTAGGAGCAGTAAGCCCAAATTACATTATTTGAAAGCTAAGACCTTCTAGTTTCGATTGGGTGAGTAGAACACAGAACAAGCCGCATCAGTTCAAACATGACTCAAAGTTTATTCTGGAAAATGATAGGTCATTTTTGAACAGCAGTAATAAAGACATTCTTGAGAAAAAGTGGGTCTAATTGTATTATATTTGTTCTACATCATGTCAGCCACAAATGCAGAACATTTCAGACCTCCAGCTATAACAGTTCCAGAGCTGTGAGGTTTTGAACTTTTAGTGTCACCAGCGTCTCCAGACCTCTCCAAATTGTGCCAAATGCTTTTATTATGCTTTGCTTTACTATTTGACCCACAGAATAACACTGAAGCATTTTGAAGCAAGTATTTTCCACTTTTTTTTCAGAATCTGTGTATAAAACCAAATGTAACATTTTCACACCTGCAATAACATAATAATCTATAAAAATAGTGAAACTGCTGCTTTTCAAGCTGAAATAAGCCCCAGCGCCTTTTCTGAGCTGTCTTTTGTTTTCATTCTGCCTTAGGCATCTTATTAAAACAAAATCAGCGTCCAAACTTGAAATAAAAACATTGGACTGTTGTTATTATTCAAGCTTGGAGCTGCAGGCATTGATCCACACTCAGCTGAGTTTCACTCTTACGCCAGTCTGTAACACGGCTCTGCTTTATATAAACCAGCCATGTCTAGCCTGGTTTAAAACCTTATTTCATTGGCTGCAAAGCCAAACAGCCATTGTGGTCTCGACCAATAACAGCAGGACTCTAGGAGGCGTATTATCGCTCTACACGCTCGAAATTTCAGCGACTGTATCCGGTTCAAATCACGTCATAAAAAGATGCGACACTTTTGTCTTGTAGGTAAGAAGACGACGTAAAGAACCATATCAGACATCACAGCATTAGAAGTAAATATTAGCAAGATGCTAAGCATTAGCTATGACCAGCTAACCTTTCTGATGTCAACATCCGGACGTTACGTGGCCATTTTCTCCTCATAGAATATTTTTTTTATGAATATGCTGGATTACGTTTAATCTGATGGACGAATGTAAACAATTGAAGGTTGGATTTCTAAAACGGCTTCTGGACGCCTTCAAAGGGAGGTTGTTGTGGCTCCTTTGTCATATCTATGGTTTACCATGCTGCTATATCTGTGATATTTGTGCTTTAATGCCTGTTGTGTCCATAAAATAATCTTGGTGTTTGAATTGTGGAGAATCTAAGCTTTCCAACGATGTCTATATTGGTAAACATTTGTAATTTTCATGCATTCTGAATTATTAGTTGGATTTTAACCACTGACACTAACAGATGGTGCAGTCATCATCAGCGGCATGCAAACATGCAGTGAATGCCAAGAAGAGCCTGAGGTTCATAGCGCCTCCTGCAGGTGGGTTTCAGGAACTGAAATGTCAATGATGAGATGAGGACAGGAGGAGGTAAAGGAAACATCTACTGATGGACCAGTGGAGCGTTGAAAACCACCATCCTATGAACCAGTGATCCCAAACCCATCGACTCATCCAGAGACTCTGGTTAAAGTCTTCCAGCTAATTGCGTCCAGTCCGTGCATCATCCAGTAGACCGCCCCTAGCAGCTGGTTGAGCATGCATCCTGCAGCGGTGGAGAGAACCAGAACCAGCAGACTCCTTATGGACTAGGTGTTTAAGTTTGTGCTCAGATGAAGCCCTTCCTCCGGGTGAGCTGTATTTTGTAACCATGGTAACAGGCCATTCATCTGTTAATGGTTGTTTAGATGAACACAGGATCCACAGGCTTGATTGGTTTAAAATCACGTCTAACCAATCAGAACAGCCAACTGGTAGAGAAAGGCCATGCAAGCAGAACTTCTGGAGGCTCATTGCCCAGGCAGCCAATCAGCAGGCATCGTTACCTGTGACATCACTGATTGGCCATGTGATCGGGAGAGACCTCTGTTTCTTTATGGACAACGACTCTGGTAACGGACAGTTCGGGATGCTGCCTCCGAGCCTCGCTGAGAGCAGCCGCCAGGGCCTTGAGAAGAGACAGGACAGTCAGAACCCAGAGGGGAGCAGCTCTGGACCAGGTCCTGGTTTTACTCTGTCCTGTTCCGTTTACCCAGCTGGACGTTTCAGTCTGCAGGACCCACCATCCTGCAGTTTCCAGGTGTCTCCCTGGTCTACCTCCCTACATCCCTTTAACAGTTTCTGGTGCGGTTGATGGTTACTCTACCTGTTCATGGTCTTCTTCTGTCTCTCCAGAGATCACAATTCTTTTCTCCACTCTGGTTTCTGAAACTCCTCCTTTCACCATCTGGGGAACAAGAACCAGCAGAAGATCATAAGACCATAAGAAACAGGACATTTTTTTCCACTTCTGAATGTTGCAGAGTCGTGAAGTCTAAGGTGTCCCCAACCCGATTCCCGTCCTCCAAGGTGGTCTTAGTCTATGGATGCTGGCTTTGACCTAAAGACCAGCTCTACTGGATTATTCTGAGGTTTCTCATGACCTGTAGGGTGGATGTGTTGAGGTAGCCATGACGATACCTTGGTGATGTGAGTGGTGGTGGTGGTGTTGGAAGTCTCTGCAGTGAAGGTCTGGGAGCTCAGCAGGAGACCAGCGGGGGGATCAGAGTCCACTTGACTCTGGAAAACATGAGGAAAACCATCAGGGAGGGAGAACCATGTCTGAAGGAGCCATAAGCTCAGTTAAACTGGTGTAGAAATGGTGGAGGTCCGACTGAAGTCAAAAATGAAATCAGGACATTTCTAGCAACATCTGAAATGTGAAATGAAATCTGAAAACATTGATCTCTGTGAGAAGAATATGTCATGATTCCTGCTTCTAGTGCTGGTTTGATTCATCATTCAACACACCTGTCAGCTCCGCCCCATTTTCAATCAGCCTCCAACAGATTCAACTGCTCACCTGGCTATATAACACCTCTCAGACCAGTCACTAGTGCCAGATTATTAAGAGCCATGGGTGAGTTTAATCCAGTGTTCCTGTAAGCTGTCTGCCTGATTCTGCCTCCTGATTCTCTGAGCCTACCTGAGCGCTATCGGACCTGTCATAGTGTGTTTATGGATCT